TGGTGCATCGCCCATTAGGGCATTTCTACTGAAACAAGGCTTTCACTTTTACCATCTTTCTAAGTGATGCAAGCAACATCATTCTGGTGTCCCACCTTTAGTCTATTTAGAATTATTCAAAGACTCGACTATTGTGGCTGCTCCCTTGATGTGTCCATTATCCATAGGGCTAACGTGCACACCCTCTTGGACACGTGGCACATGCCATTGGGCCATGCACACATGTCTAATTAGGGAGACTATTCTTAAATATAGAGCACCGGAATTCTTTATGTTTTGATGCCCCTGATTATGGTGTGGTTTCACATCAAAACATGCATCAGGCTTCACTCTGTTTTTTGTTTTTTTCACAATGGGTAGAACTTTAGGAGCACTGTATATATTTTTTCTTTGACCCTGTCCTCTTTTCCCTTTTTTATCTGCCCTCGCCTTATGTGTATTTTTTCTTAGTGTGTGCCGAGGTAGTCATAGGACACAGCCTTTGACACTAGACTTTGCCATGGACACCATAAATTGTAGCACTTGATTATTGTGTGTTGTATCTAGGTAATGTTTGTCCATTTGGAGGGCTTTTATTAGCTTATTTATTTTGATTCATCTTTTGGCCATGTACTTATATAAGCATTTAGCTAACATACCCCTGAAACTGTAAATATTTATTTTGTCAGCCTTAAATGTATGAATGTTAATTTTAAGTTTATATTTACTTTAGATGCATGTATTAATAAGGGTATGCTCTATTTCCTTGATTGAGGGTTGGACTTTTTGAGCAGATGTTTTTCGAGTATTCATTTATTTTACAGTATTCTCACATTTGTGCATTTTAGGAGTGAATTATCTTATGTATTATTGTTTGTGCATATTGATAATTTTTAGAGTTTACTGTTACTGCCAAATAAAGATGAACTATGTTTTAACCTTTTTTCTTATCACCATCCATACCTTGTATGGGTTCTTTAAATAACCTTTAACTGCGCTGCTTCGTGCCTTTTTGGCCTATACTCCTATTTTCTATTCTTTATTAATATGTAGTGCATAAAATTGTTTAAATCTTTCTCAAACATGACAGGATAGCAAACAGACAATGATTACATAATAAACTTTTAGGATACAATTTTCAACCCTTATTTAAGATTTCAGAAAAGAAAAACAATGGAATCAACCAATTTCTAAACAACAGACCATGGAAATAAACAGTTTCACACATACCCAGGACAAAGTTGTATCAAAGAGCCAAGAGGTGAGCAAACCCACATAAAGAAAAAGAACCCCATGACGTTTCAGCTCACTCTCTTTCTCAGGGAATGATGCCAAACACGAAACAGACCACAATATATCTCCAGTGATTAAAATGTGATTGCACATGGATGGCCACCCACTATTGTCATAGATCTGCCCCTAGTCATGACCAAAAGTTTGTGAGGGTGGATTCGCTAAGCTAATTTTTTTATTTTTTATTATTAGTTCTTTCTTTTTTGCTTTTTTCAGTTTACAATAATAAAAATAATAATAATAATAATAATAATAATAAACGTAAAGGTAGTTTTTGTAGAGTCCATCAAAAAATATTATTAATAATGTGTGTGCTTCAAGCATACAGTGTTTTATATTGATAATTTTTTATTATTTATCAAAAGGTAGCAAAATCACATATCCAACACAAAGCTTTCATTAAAGAATAGAGTTGTGTAAGGTATTTAATTATTTTAATTATTTTATATATATATATATATATATATATATATATATACATATATATATATAAATATATATATATGTATATATATATATATATATATATATATATATATATATATATATATATATATATATATATATATATATATGTATATATATATATATATATAACAAGTTGAGATTGTAGCTGTATTAGTCCAGTGATGTTGATGTAAAAAAAAACAGATAACATTTGTATCTTGTAATATATTATCTGTTTTCTGTTTTATATGTGTGTGTGTATATATACAGTGCCTTGCAAAAGTATTTATCCCCCCCTTGGCATTTTTCAGTTTTCTGTCAAACTCCTCCTGAGTGTAGCTGTCGCACTGCCGCTGGGGAGGAAGGATGACACGCTTCTCTCCCTGTAACTTGCTCGGCCGCTGGGGTCTCTCCCAACGTGCCAACTCACGTGCCCGCTCTGCTTTGACCTGCAGATACTCTTCCACGTGTCTCCTCAGGAGCTGCACAGATCTTTCCGGGGGAGTTGGGTCCATAGAAAGCCAGCCGTGATGTAAACTCTCTGTCAAACTCCTCCTGAGTGTAGCTGGGTGCCATGCTTGCTCTGCGGAAATTTCTTCTTTTGTAGATAGGGGCGCTTTACGGGTACTAGCGTTGCCCTCAATTTGTGAATCCACGAACTGGTGTTGTCTTGTAGCTGTCCTTCTGGGCTGTGGGAATGATCCCGTCGCTTGCCACCAATTGTAACGGACCGTTTTACACACTCCTATAACCCATACAATAGAATCCCTCCTCTGTGCTTGGGAGATAATTGAATGAGGAACTGTACTAATCTAACCCAATTATCTCCGAGCACAGAAAAAATATACAATTTTATGAAACCCCAATTGCCTTCCTAATTGCCCTTATCTGGGTGAACAACATATCCAAAAATCACCCAGATCGGTTCAGGGGTTCAGGAATTTCCTGGAAGTCACAGTTTTGACCGACCATGCACATGGTACTATGCCCAAAACAGTTCCAGGGACATCAGTGCTAACAGTTGATCAAGTTTAGTAGTCTTTTAAAGGTTTTCCTGCAGGGCCTGTGTGTGGGCAGGAGGCTGGCAAGCAGGCCCCTCCAGGAGCTTGTGGAAAACTCACTTGGAGAGGGGAGTTTGTCCCAATACTGTGCCTTGTAAAAGTATTCACCCCCCCTTGGCATTTTTCGTGTTTTGTTGCCTCACAACCTGGAATTAACATGGATTGTTTGAGGATTTGCATCATTTCATTTACAGAACATTCCCACAAGTAAACAACAAATTGGACAGAATAACAGAAAAAGTCAATGTGCATAACTATTCACCCCCCTAAAGTCAATACTTTGTAGAGCCACCTTTTGCGGCAATCACAGCTCCAAGTCACTTTGGATAAGTCTCTATGAGCTTGCCACACCTTATCACTGGGATTTTTTCCCATTCCTCCTTGCAAAACTGCTCCAGCTCCTTCAAGTTGGATGAACAGCAATCTTCAGTCTGACCACAGATTTTCTATTGCATTGAGGTCTGGGCTTTGACTAGGCCATTCCAACACATTTACATGTTTCCCTTTAAACCACTCAAGTGTTGCTTTAGCAGTGTGTTTGGGGTCATTGTCGTGCTGGAAGGTGAACCTCCTTCCTAGCCTCAAATCATGCACAAAGTGGTACAGGTTTTGCTCAAGAATATCCCTATATTTAGCACCATCCATCTTTCCCTCAACTCTGACCAGTTTTCCAGTCCTGGCTGCTAAAAACCATCCCCACAGCATGATGGTGTTCTGTGAGGTGTTGGGTTTGCGCCAGACATAGCGTTTTCTTTGATGGCTGAAAAGTTCAATTTTAGTCTCATCAGACCAGAGCACCTTCCTCCATACATTTTGGGAGTCTCCCACATGCCTTTTCACAAACTCAAAATGTGCCATTTAGTTTTTTGCTGAAAGTAATGGCTTTCTTCCGGCCACTCTGCCATAAAGCCCAACTCTATGGAGCATTTGGCTTATTGTCGTCCTATGTACACATACTCCAGTCTCTGCTGTGGAACTCTGCAGCTCCTCCAGGGTTACCTTAGGTCTCTGTGCTGCCTCTCTGATTAATGCCCTCCTTGCCCGGTCTATGAGTTTTGGTGAGCGGCCATGTTTGCTGTTGTGCCATGTTCTTTCCATTTGGTTATGATAGATTTGATGGTGCTCCTGGGGATCATCAAAGATTTAGATATTTTTTATAACCTAACTCTGACTTGTACTTCTCAACAACATTGTCCCTTACTTGTTTGGCGAGTTCATTGGTATTCATGGCAGTGTTTGGTTAGTGGTGCCTCTTGCTTAGGTGTTGCAGCCTCTGGGGCCTTTCAAAAAAGGTGTGTATATGTAATGACAGATCATGTGGCACTTAGATTGCACACAGGTGGACATCATTTCACTAATTAGGTGACTTCTAAAGGTAGAGCTTTTTATGGGCTTCATAACAAAGGGGGTGAATACATACGCACTTGCCAATTTTCTTTTTTCTAATTCTAAAAAATAGTTTTATGTATATATTTTTCTCGTTTCACTTCACCAACTTAGACTATTGTGTTCTGATCCATCACATAAAATTGAAGATTATGCTAGCGTTAGTGTACTTATAATCTTAATTTTAGTAATGACAGGAGGCGAGTATTTTGCATAACTCTCTTTACTAAACTCCATAGCAGTAAAGAAAGTGAAACATTTAAACCAATCAAAATGCAAATAGGGAGTATATCATCCCGGCAAATAGGCTCCTCCTCCTCTTTCGGAAGCGACATCGGAACAGGGAAGAAGGTAGCGATAAAGTCTGTAGTAAACATCAACTGTGGTATCCAACTGGAAAAGATGAACTTCTCGGCATGAGTGGGAACCGGCACCAACGGGTGATGGAAGTCGTCTGATAGAAGGCGTGGTCTTTGTCAGAAGAACCGTAGTCCAATGATTATGCCGCAGAAGTTGCAGGATGAAACGAAGTTAAACTGAAATGAGAATGTGAGAAGGTTAGGCACCGGTCTGGCAACTGTTTGTGATATAGGTATTGATCCATCGGATAGCATTGAAACAGTGTATATTATGAATTCAGAGAATAGTCTAACAGTAGATAGATAGGCTGATGGTAATAGAGGATACAATATGCCAACATGTTGGTTGACTGAAAAAGAAGGAAGAAAAAGGAGACAGTAGTAGCTGTATGAATAGAGTAGTTCCCCTCCTCTCCGGGTGGGAAGGGTGGGAAAATACTCGCCTCCTGTCATTACTAAAATTAAGATTATAAGTACACTAACGCTAGCATAATCTTCAATTTTATCACATGACAGGAGGCTTCCTATTTTGCATTTTTAACGCTGTTGTATAAGAGACATGGCTGCACCGGAGTTCGGTCGGAAGTAGAAGGTGCGGAACGTAGATTCTCTAGACCAATCCGCGGAGTGTAGGATATCCGTTATGGAGGCACCCGCCATGAAGGCTGAGGATGCTGCTGCTCCGCGTACGGAGTGTGCTCCGAATGTAGTGTCCACGCCGGCTAGCGATAGTAACCATCGAACCCATCTCGCTAGGGTGGTTGTTGTAATAGGAACATGTGGTCTAATGTATGATACTAAGAGTTGACCTGAGGGCGTAGACCTGAGTGGTAGGGTAGTTTCTACATACTGATGTAGAGTGGAGACGACACAGAGTTGTGGATCCGTGGGGAAGAATGGATAAAATACAGATGTGGAGTCCGTCTTAGTGCGACGAGATATCCTGAATGTTACTCCTTCTGGGGAGGTAGAAAAAGCGTCTATGTCCAGCGCTCGAATGTCTGACACTCTGCGGAAGGAGACCAGGCAAAGCAAGACTGTGAGTTTTGCTGAGAGTTGTCGGAGGGAGAGTCTGTCGTTAGTTGGCCAGTCTCTCAGGAATCGGAGGATTACGTCGACGTCCCAGAATCGAGAATATTTCGGGCCTGGAGGGCGTTGTAATCGAATGCCCCTCAGAAGTCGACACACCAGTGGGTCCTTGCCAACCGGAATCCCTAGTATGGGGACATGAGCTGCTGAAATAGCTGAACGAATTACGTTGATTGATCTGTAAGACCGACCTAATGAGAATAGGTGGGATAGGAAGTTCAAAATGGCTGAAATAGGGGCCGTAAATGGATCGATGTTCCGTTCCAAACACCAAGTGGACCAGGAGTTCCAAGCGGATAGGTAGCATCTTCTGGTTCCAGGGGCCCATGAGTCCCATAGTAGCTCTTTAGCAGCCTGCGATAGTTCGCCGACTTGCCAGGAGCCCCTGAAAGTGTCCAAGCCACCAGATGGAGACGCTCGTCCAGGATGAGTGGATGAGGGTGTCCTCTTGGATCTGTGAGAATGTACTGATGATGGGGTAATAGAAGAGGATCCTTGTATGAAAGAGCTAGGAGGTCCGGGAACCAAGGTTGTCCTCTCCATAGTGGAGTGATGAGCACTAGAGAGGTTTGTTGATTCTTCAGGTAGTGTATGGTCCTCGCTATCATGGCAAAGGGGGGAAAGGCGTAGGCTCCCGTGATCGGCCATGGTTGTAGGAATGCGTCCACTGCAGCGCTCTCCGGATCCGGGAGCCAGCTGAAGTACAGTTCCGTTTGTCTGTTGTTGCGGGACGCAAATAGATCCAGGTGGAGTGGTCCTCGGCGATCCACAATGTGGTTGAAGATTTGTGGATCTAGTTTCCAGTCGCTGGTGTCCCGCCAGTGACGTGAGAACCAGTCTGCTGTGAGGTTTGTCTCTCCTGGGAGATATTCTGCCGTGAGAGAGATGTTGCGGGGTAGGCAGAAATCGAAGATCTCCTTCGTGATTTCTGACAGGAGGCGGGAACGGGCTCCGCCTAGGCGGTTGATGTAGCGGACTGCAGAGATGTTGTCCATCCTGAGGAGGATGCAGCAATCCGACTTGTCCTTCGCTAGGCTTCGGATGGTGAATGACCCTGCTAGGAGTTCCAAGCAGTTTATATGCATGTTGAGGTCTTGGGATGTCCAGGTTCCTCCTGTCGATGTATTTTCGCTCGTCGCGCCCCATCCCCAGAGGCTGGCGTCTGATTCCAATATCATATCGGGAGCCCTTCCGAAGATGGCTCGGCCGTTCCATGCCTCCATGCTGTCTAGCCACCATCTGAGTTCGTCTCTGACTTCTTCTGTCATCGGGATTGGCTGATCGTATGAGGGGTTTTTCCTGAGGAAGGAAGCTTTGAGGCGCTGCATCGCCCTGTAGTGGAGGGGACCGGGGAATATAGCTTGTATGGAAGCCGAGAGAAGTCCCACAATGCGTGCGAGGGCGCGGAGTGGAATGGTGTGGCAGCGGATGGCCCTGCGTAATTCCTTGCGAATGGCTGAGATTTTTGCTGACGGTAGCCGTAGGGTGCTGGAGATGGAATCTATCTCGAATCCCAGAAATTGCACTGTTTGTGATGGGGAAGTAGCCGATTTCTGAAAGTTCACTATGAAGCCCAGGGATGACAGGAGATCCGTGGTATACCGTGTGTGACGTACCAGTCGGTGTCTGTCTGAGCAGAACAGCAGGAGGTCGTCCAGGTATATGATGCAACGAATTCCTTGCGCTCGAAGATGTGCGACCACGGGTTTCATCAGTTTGGTGAAACACCATGGGGCCGAACTGAGGCCGAAGGGGAGGCACGTGAATTGCCAAGGAAGGCCTTGCCAGTGGAAACGAAGGTATTGTCTGCAGGATTGGTGGACGGGTACTGATAAGTAAGCGTCCTTGAGGTCTAGTCTCGTGAACCAATCCTTGTCTTGTAGCAGGTCTCGTAGAAGATGTATGCCTTCCATCTTGAAGTGATTGTAAGTGACGTATTCGTTGAGTTGTCGTAGGTTTATGACGGGTCGTAGGTCTCCCGTTTTCTTCTTTACCAAGAAGATGTTGCTGAAGAAACCTTGAGGGTCGGAGGCGGGTTCGATCGCCCCTTTTGAGTATAGGGTTTGAAGTTCGTCGTCGATGAGAGAGGTGTCTATCCTTGAGCATTGGATAGGACGTGGTAGTTCTGTCTGTCGTGGTTGGTCTACGAAGTCTATGACGTAACCTTGTACCGTCTGTAGGATCCATGCATCCGTGGAGATGGAGGTCCATTCCTGGAAGAAAAGAGATATGCGACCTGCTGTATGCATTGGGAGTGAGAAGTGAGTAAAATGGTTGCTTACCTGAGGAAAATCGAGCTCTGCCTCGGGTGCGTGGTCCTTGACCTCTGTCTGCACCTCGAGTGTAGGAGTACGGGCTGTATCCCACCTCTGGGTAGAAAGGTTGAGGTCTCGTAGAGCGGGGGCCTGATGGCCAGAAGCGGCTGGCAGCACGGCCCCTTTGGCGGCCAGCCCGTCCAAAAACACCCCTGGAGGGGTTTTGTCTGAAGACTCTACGCATTGATGTCTGAGCCTTGTTTAAGGATGTGTAGACGTTTACATGTCTACTTAGCTCTTTTAGGAAAAGTTCTCCAAAGAGCTTGCCCTGTGCCATAGGACCTAGTTCTTTGGTGCCCAACTCCACCAATTTCCCGTCAATGCGGAGAAGTGCTGCTTTACGTCGCTCGGATGATAAGGCGACATTGGCATTACCCACAAAACAAAAGCACCTTTGTGCCCATTCCCGCACATCATGCGCCCATTCTCGCACCATAGTAGCGTCAAATTGATCGGCTTTAGCTAGGGCGTCGTCGGCCAAGTACATAATTCTGGATAATGGTCCCACAGTGTCCAGAAGTTTATCCTGTACCCCTTTGAACCCTTTTTCCACACCTTTGCGTGGGTCGCGGCCACCTCGCGACATAAAGGTGGTCATCACCTGGTCGAATTCTGGAGTGTCCGCAACATGGTCAGGTAGAAAAGGTCGTGGGCATTCCGACCTCAAGCGGTTGCGGACTGTCTTGTCCATGGACTTCCGTAGCCAGAGGTGCATGAACCTCGCTAAGTGGTCGGGTGGTGTCCAGTAAACAAAGTAAATAGACAAAAGTGACAATTATTAATGTACAGAAAAACTATATTATGAGGTAAATAGGGAAGAGCCAAAAACTCTGACCTGTCTGCGATGGAGCAGTAAAGAAAGAGGAGGAGGAGCCTATTTGCTGGGATGATATACTCCCTATTTGCATTTTGATTGGTTTAAATGTTTCACTTTCTTTACTGCTATGGAGTTTAGTAAAGAGAGTTATGCAAAATAGGAAGCCTCCTGTCATGTGATAAAATTCAGATTAATAAAACGTGGATCTTTAGGCTGTAATGTAACAAAATAGGTAAAAAGTCAAGTGGGTGAATACTTTTGCAAGGCACTGTATATGAGCGAGAGAGAGAGAGAGAGAGAGAG